AGGTTTCAAACATTTTAAGACACTTTTAAATGAGCAAAAAGGGACATCGTTAAGTGAAATTCCCCCATAGAGAACATCGTTAAACAATGGGGGAAATTCCTCAAAAAAACCCATCGCTGTGTGAATTCATCATTGTATGAAGCAATCGTTGTGCGAGGCACCACTGTAACACCATTTCTCTTCTTTAAATTTAGAAGACTCGGATTCAGACCTTTCAGTCTTTGCATCTGGTTCCACACCCTTGGTACAAAATTAAGGCTCTTCTCTTCTCTTCTCTTCTCTTTCTTTCTTTCTTTCTTTCTTTCTTTCTTTCTTTCTTTCTTTCTTTCTTTCTTTCTTTCTTTTCTTTCTTTCTTTTCTTTCTTTCTTTTCTTTCTTTCTTTTCTTTCTTTCTTTTCTTTCTTTCTTTTCTTTCTTTCTTTTCTTTCTTTCTTTTCTTTCTTTCTTTTCTTTCTTTCTTTTCTTTCTTTCTTTTCTTTCTTTCTGCTTCCTGGGAGTTGTAATCCTTTAGAAGGCACTCTCTAGAAAACCTCGTGGGCAGTGAGACTACAGCTCTCAGGAAGCATCATGACAGTTTCCTTTTAAAAAAATGAATCAGGAGTTCAGACTGCAGGAGGCTGCGTGGTTTTGGAGGTAGGTTCTTCTCCTGGAGAGTGAAATGTAAGTGTCTGTAGCTGTGTGTTTCTGGGCGTAGATATTTTGACCACAAACTGTTTTGAGATCTGGTGTACTTCGTTTGTTTTATAGGTTGCCTTTCTCCTGATAAGGGGACCCAAGGCAGGTCTTAATAGTAAAAGAACAGAATAAAAAAACATAGTAAGTTAAACATTAAATGTTGGTTAAACTATAATTAATTTAAATTCAATTTGATGTTCTGGGACTCAGTTGTGATTGTTTAAAGCCTGCCTGAAAGGATGGGTCTTCGGCTGATGGCAGAAGGACAGAAGGGAGGGCCCAGCCTCACCTCATCTCCGAGAGCATTCCATAAGCTGGGAACTGCCTCTAGTATCCCCATCAAACATGACTGCACTGGCAATGAGATCAAGAGAAGGGTTTCCTCTGACAATCTCCTTTGATTTGCATTGGACTCGGAACGGAACTGCAAAAAGGAGTGAGATTCCTTACACGCTAAGGATGTCCATTGCCTTTGCTCTAGAAGGAGAGGTTGATTCTTCTCTGCTGAAACGGTTAAATGAGCTTACTGGCATCCATTGTACAACATCCTTTGTCTCCATTTAATCTATTGGATTTATTCTTAGAAATAGTCTGGTTTTTAATGTTTGGTTATTTCTAGCAAATCAAAGACAATCTCATTTTGAGATACTTTTTATACTCTGGAAAAAATCATTTTCTTATCTTAAATTTAGATATAAGACCTCTATTAACTGTTAAGCAAGGAAGGAAACTATTAATCATATAATAAGACAGACATTTCTTTTAAAGTATGGTTTCAGTGCTAATCTAATAAATGTTCATGAAAGATATGCTTCTGACTGTTGTGTGATGTATAGACTGTTCTTTATTAAGAACCAGCTTTTACTTAGGAAAAAACAAAAGAATGGCACAAGTAGTACTAATAATATAGCAGCTGAAATCCTGTTGCTTGCGCAGTAAGTTGCAGTAGAGTAGGTCCATTGAATCAAGGTGGATTCTGTGTAAGTTCCATTGATTTAAATGGGCATGCTCTGATTGTGACTGAGGATATGATCACATGGGGAAATAGAATGCATTTTGGACTATTTGTGGAGTAGTCTGGTGCAATCTATTTCCCGGCAGTTGCATGGCTGCAGCACAATCCAATCAGTGCCCAAGGTTTTTTTTGGACCAGTTGTTCAACTACTAGTTTTTGGGGCAGGGCTAGAACAATTCCCTGGTAGATGGAAGGAGTCCCTTAAAGGGCAATCCTAATTTTTAGGGTTTTTAAAAGGATTTTAGGATAATTTTTAGCACACTGCAGAGGGATCTTTCCTGGTGTGATCAGATGCATGCCTTTCCAGCTGTCTGATTGCACCCTTACTATGTACAGTAAGTCACAACTACTGTGGGCTGATTTGAATCAATGGAACTTAACAGTGGAGGTGACTTACTGAATCACCATTGATTCAGTGGACCTACATGAGTGCAACTTACTTTGCTAAGCAACAGGATTTTAGCTAATACCTGTAATTTAATTCTCAGGTAAAGGTAAAGGTTCCCCTTGACATTTAGTCCGGTCGTGTCCGACTCTAGGGTGCGGTGCTCATCCCCGTCTCCAAACCGTAGAGCCAGCGTTTGTCCGTAGACAGTTTCTGTGGTCACGTGGCCAGTGCAAATAGACACGGAATGCCGTTACCTTCCCACTGTGGTGGTACCTATTTATCTACCTGCATTTACATGCTTTCGAACTGCTAGGTTGGCAGGAACTGGGACAAGCGACGGGGGCTCACTCCATTGCGTGGGTTTGATCTTACAATTGCTAGTCTTCTGACCTTACAGCACAGAGGCTTCTGTGGTTTAACTGGCAGCATCACCACGTCCCATTTAATTAAATTCTTGCAGAACTTCAATTATTAATTGAAAAGGCTTAAATCTGTGGAGATATAGCCCTCCCATATGCCAGAAATAAATCAGATGGAGAACAACAGGGAATTTGCAATGAATGAGGGGCATCGGTCTCTTTACCATTTATACATTATTTATTTATGCAATAAACAATGATGTATACAATTTATACATCATTGTTTATTGCATTGATGTGGAGGAAGTAGAAGGCGAGAAGAGAGTAGGTGAGTGGTCCTTAGGTTCACAAGCCTTCATGCATTTAACTTCATATTATGGTTGCCATTATTTATGAATGTGGCCAGTCTTGGTTTGCTGTGGGAGGAAGTCTGTGGGAATTCAATAAAGATTTTTTTTTTATAAAAAAGTAGAAATATCTTCCACTGGCATCACCAGCATCTAGAGCTGTAGATGCTGTATTTTTCCCCATTCAAGTCAATGTACACCACTAGATTGCTCCACATGAGAGAACTAATTAAACAACAGTTGGGACAAATGAGGAGAAGTAAAAACCTCTTCCTTCAGACTCACCAGAAAGTCTGATGAAGATTTTGGTCTTACTTTAGTTGCAGCCCCATTGCTTACTTATGGACCAGTGTTTCTCAACCTGGGGGGGTCGTGATCCCAAGAGGGTCACAAAGTGTTTTCTGGGGAGTTGTGGGTCATTTAATTAGCCCTTTCTAAATAATTTCTTCCTTGACCTTTTGGAGCCGGATATTACCGTTATCACATATGTGTATGTATGAGAAACAGGCCCTTTTGGGGGAGAAAGAAGTCTCTGCTTTCTGAAAAAGGATGGCCTTACCCCATTAAAAATGCTTTTTATGCAAACTTGACACCTCCGTGTGTTGCAGGTTACTTGACTATTATAAAAGGGGGTCATGACTCAAAAAAGGTTGAGACCCATTGTTGTAGACAAAGTAGTGTATTAGAGGGAATACCCGTAAAGATATTACTTAATATTTTAAATTGTCTGTATCCTCCTTTAAAAATATGTGTAGTGGGCACATTGAGCATAATGTCTTCTATCGCAAACATATGACCTTCTGCCCTCTCCCACCTCTCACTTTCCCTTTTCTCTTACCTGGCTTAGAGGGGGAACTGGAAGAAGAATGGTTGAAAGAAGCCGGCTTGTCAAACCTCTTTGGCGAGGCTTCAGGAGACTCTCAAGAAAGTGTGGTGGTTTTGGCTACCCTCACTCGTACTCAGGCAGCAGCCGTGCAGAAGCGAGTGGAGACTGTGACACAGACAATGAGGAAGAAAAACAAACAGTACCAAGTTCCTGATGTGAGAGAGATCTTCAAGCAACAAAATGAGCCAAAGGAAAAAGTAAGTTCCTGGTTTGTGGTTTGGCTTGGCCTTTCTTAAAAATGCTGTCTATCAAAACAAGCTATTAGGGATTAATGGGAAGTAAGATACAGTCTTGTACCCTGGAGCAAGACTCACAACAAAGGGCCTTTCCTAGAAGCAGCTTTTAAATATTACATGCTGCTTATACACTATGTGAAGCAATTTTGTTTATTCTGGTTACATTTTGCCTTCCCTTTGTCCTCATAGCAACTTAGGCCAGACTGAAGGAGTATGATAGGCTCGAGGTCACTTGGTGGGTTTCATGACCAAAGGGAGAATTGCCTGCCTGCCATTCGTGCCAGCCTATGCCACATCCTGTGTGGGTTGGCACCATCCCGGTACTAGCTGTTTGCATTCAGTCAATTTGCCTTTCCATTGACAATCTGGAGTAGAAGAAGGTACTGTTTTTAATGTTGTGGCATTACCTTCCCAGCTCTGTTTAGTTGTGCTTTAGCATGTGTAATATTGAGAGGATTAGACCTGCCGCCTCTGTTGTCTTTTAATAGTAGAAGTGCAACTGTCTGAAGAGGATATAGCCGTTGCATGCAGATAACCTCCCCATATGTGGCAGTTCAGGATCAGTTCAGTCTCCCCCAATTCAGACAATTAAAGGGATGATGTGGAAGGCTAGTACATTCCCCACAGTGTACGTCAACTCTACATACTTTAAATCACAACTGAATAGAACTATTGTGCTTCCTACTGAATCAGGATGAGAAATGTGTGGTGTATTCCTTTTAAACTGTTGGAATTGCAGCTTTTGATGGAATAAGCAGCATGTTAAGTGCATTTAATTTTTTATCATTCAGTCACTTACTATTAATCTTTTTATTCAGTCCCTCTCTGCGTATATCTTATTTTAAATATCATATATGTATGTTTACATTTCTATCCCACCCAACTAGTAGCTAGGCTACTAATCTATATGTTTCTGTATAGATCATTTTATTGTGGAATATACAGTAACTATCAAATAAAAAGTACACTGTAAGTTTATTATCATAATTAAGATCTTAGCATTTCCAGTGTCACTTGTAATATAAAATATCCGTTATATATTTTAGTATACAAAATTCATAACATAAACTTTAAACAAAACATTGAAAATAAGGCAACTATAGCAGAATGAAATCTAAAACAAACCATATCTAAAGATACAAGAAACCAATGTTATGACCAATGTTTAAACCAAACAGAAGCTTTAAAAACCAAATATGCTTCTAGATCAGTCTGCAAATGGCATCCCAGCAGTGTTTCATGTTTAATCTGTGTTATCCAGACTTCTGTGAGTAGTACATTGCTCAAAGGAAGCCAGGATTCTATACACAACAGTTGCATTCATTGGTATCCTTCCTTTACTGTGTTCATATGTCAATTTCCCCATTTAGAGGTTGAAAGTCTGTGACTCAACAGAGGAGGATAGCAATGTACTGAAATAAGAATGATCTCACTATCATTGTTTCTGTGGGTTAAGTGCAGTGTCCGGGGCAAAGAGTAGCTACATATGCGGATGTGAACCTGTCCTTGGAGTAATGTGTGGATTGCATTTGTCCTGGGAAAAACAGTTCCATTATACAAACTGCAGAAAAAGGGCAAGGTCTCTCCCATTTTTCTCAGGAATGATCTGATTTCTGTCTGCCAAATTGGAAGGAACTTGAGTCATGTCCCAGTACTTTTAAAAAAAGGACTCAAGGACAGGCACACATGTACTTTATACTAAGCCATGTCCAAACGGTGGGTAGAAGACTCATTTCAAACTGCTCCTTTGTTAGAGGGCTGATTTGCAGAGATGACCCTGGGAAACTGCAGCTTGGCATAGAGAGAAAGTCCACTTTTTCTTGGGGCAGGATGGTCCCCATTTGGCTAGGCTTTTGCTTCCAGGCCTCATTTTCTTGGCGAGTTATCCAAGGACTAGTTTTCTAAAACCCAAAGTTTCACTCACCAGTAGAGAAGAATTCAGAACTTCCAATGCACTGTCCTCCTTTCACAATTAGCACTTCAAAGCCCCCAAAGCTCATTTCTGAACCTGGCCATACCAGACGTCCCTTTAGCGTGCACACTATCTGCAGTTGAAAAGGCCAGACACCGAGTATATCTAGAAGTTGCTCTCCACACAGGGATTCTCTGAATGTTCCAAAATTCTTCTGTGACTGTGCTCTTCTTTTCCATGAAGGTCTAGTTTTTCTATTTTGGCTAAGCTTCTGTAAATATTAGAGCTTGTTAGATTAATATTTGTGTTAGACCACTTTCTAATTAAATATTAGAATACTTAATAATATCTGTGAAAGAGTAAGGTCATTTCATGCAGTGTCAGAGAATGTCAGACCCAGAGAAATTTCTAAGTTTAAAAATGGTGTTGTGGCAACCATTTCTTTATACATTCTCCTCATATCTAACAACAATCAAGCACTCTGGAAATATTGTTTAGCTGTTTCCTGACATTTTAATGGTAGCTGGGCCCCAACTCTGCATTTGGGCATTCTATCTTTTCAGCCTGCTAACGGAGGTATTGGGATGCATGCATTGCTGAATGTTTTCATGTCCAGCTAGCTTCATAGTGGCGAAAATAAATCCATGTGTCAGGCTGCCCATTACTGTTGTTAACTGAAGTAGCTCAAGAGCCAAGCCTGATCCTGGCACTCTGACCATCTTCTAGGCAGAATGTTGGAGTCCACTGAGAAGTCCATTGTGTAACTTCCGTGGGGATTCCCATTAGTCATGGAGCTTCTTCCCATGTACCCTCCTGTAATTTTCTTGCACTGATGTTATAATCTGGGATCAGGATTGAGTATCGGTATCAGCATTGTAATGCTACTAATAAGATCAGATGGGAGTAATGCCATTTGCCTATGATTTATAAAAGTTTTATAAATTGTTTGTTTGTTTGTTTACTTACTTACTTATTTGCATTTTAGGAAAGTAGCACCGAACACCAGTTTGTAAGAACAAGAGAAAGTAAGGATGAAGTACAAGAGGAAAGAAAAGAGGGTAAATCTGAACAAGATTTTTATATGGATTTATTCTTTACAGTGCTCTTATAAATTATATTCTGTGCTATAGAGCAAGTGCAGATTTTGAAAATGTCTTATTGAAAGAAATTCTGGTATGTATTCAATAAAGGAGCTCTTTTTGGCACACCCCAAGCCTCTTTTTGAAACATATCCAAGAAAACAAAGTTCCCTACCAGAACTGTGGATTTAGTTACTGGTTGGAATCTTCTTGATGCCTGCATAGATCTGTATAACTTGCTGCAGCTAATTGTATTTAATTAATGAAGTGCCATGTGCATCACCATTGTGTAGTCAGGTGCAGCACATAACCAAGACAGACCCTAGCACCTTGTCATTTAACTGCAGTTAGCCATGGCAAGTTATGCAAACAGCAATAGGATTCTGGACATTAAGCTCTGTTCTGAAGATAAATCAGTACATGCCTTTTTCATCCTTGAAATATGCATCCCTAAAATATCTCAGCATTTTACTGAATGTTTAAGCAGTAATGTTTCCTGTAATATACAAAAGATTTTCCATTACATTTTTAAAATTCCAGTTAATGTACAATTAATGTAGGTAAGTTCAGCCCTCAAAATAAGGGTATCATCCTAGCCCACTCAAGGCATTTGATGTGCATCATGACTGTCTGTTGACTTGTCATCACAGACATGGCAGCTCCTCACCAGAAACAGGGCAGCCTTCCCTTACTTTGTGACCGCCAAATGTCTTGGACAACAGTTCTATCAACCCCATTAGAATGGGTGGAAATCAGGGAAGGCTAGCACACGGGAACAAGAGCCACTAACTTTTCTGTTGCGTTACAGTTGCATTAGTTGCAGTAACATTACTTGTTGCTGAATAGCAACTCGGCCACCTGGTCTCTTTAACATGAACAGACTATGTGCGCATGAACTATATAGCTGCATCTCATTCCCTGTGTTGTGTTTTATATATTCCTGCCCTTTCAGCATATGTGAAACTCCTGAGAGAGAGTTTTAAAGGATTATTTATGGTAAACTACACCTGACATCTAGATTTCAGCTGAATCATTTTTTTAAATCCTTCAAATAAACCAGCCTTAGGTAAATTTTGAATACCAACTGTTTTTATAAATAAACATGAAGTAAAATCTGACAATATCAAAATGGTTGATTAAAAATCATACATAAGAGTCAGCAGAAAATGACCAACATCTTCCTCATCAATGGAAGTAGGAGGCAGGTAATTAGCCCTTCAGCCCTAATTAGTTTCAGACAGGTCAGGTGTTATGCAAGACTTCTGCAGATCCCATGCCTAAAAAAAGGGGAATCAAGGGGTGAGGTGCTTTGAAACTCTCTGGAGCTGTCAGAGAGTTTCAGACAGGTCAGGTGTTATGCAAGAGGTAGAAAGGTTCATTGGCCTCCAGCTTTCTAGTTGAAAGTCCCAGTGCTCCTTGTGAACATCACAATCAGTTCAAGCCTTGAAGACATCTGTACTCTCATACCTAATTTAATCCTAAACTAACTATAAGCCCAGAGGTCTTTTGTACCTTTATAACATAGGACTCATTACATAAAGGGTTTGTTCTTTTCTTCCATTGAAGTAAATGAATCATACAGTAAGCATGACTAACTTCTTTTCTAGACTAAAGTGAGCATAGAAAACAAACAGAATGAGATGGCTTCCATGTGACATTGCTATGGTTCGATTGTAGTTTTCACAAAGCAGCAAGTGAATGAATTAGAGCATGCAAAAGAAGGAAGGGACACGTGAGGCTGAGGATTATTCATGTAACAGCCATACCACGTCTTGACAAATGTATGGGTTGCTGCAAACCAGGAAGCAAGTGGATGAACTGGTGCCTGCAAAGAGAAGAAGGAACATGGAAGGCTGAGTCATGTGTCCCCAAATCATATTTTGGCATGACCTGTAAGCCACCAGCTTTAACCAGTTCTAGTAGCTGTAATGGAAGAGATAAAACTGAATTATTTGGAGGTGGGGAATCTGCCCATTGAACTACTATATCTAGCTGTTGAGAATTTACAACCCTGGGTACATAATAGTATTTGTCCATCAGTAGAACAGACATGGCTGGCAGAGATTACTCCTCTGATTGCAGACTCTTGCATGCCACCCTAACTGGGTGGTGGTGGAGTTAAGTAGTGCAGGGTAGGAGAGGAAGAAGAAGTCCCATTAATAGTTTACTTGCATGGCAGTGCATAGAGCTTAATGATTTTAAAGCAGGCTGGATTTGGCTTTGCCTTAATGGAGAAAATTGAATCCCTCCATCTATAGATGTGTTTCCAAGGCATGAAAATAATACATTGGCAGGGTTGCATTATCTTTTGAAGTATAGACAGAGAAATACAGGTGAGGATCACGTGTGCAGTCCAGGTCTGAGACAAACAAAACTTAAAATAAGGAAATATAGTAAAAAGGGAAATGACAGACTTGGAAAAACAAGCATTAAGGTATGGTAGTCAAAAACACCAGTGTATATTTGCCTTTTTGTAAAAAAAGTAGATGTACTTCCAAAGTAGGGGGAAAAAACAAAACACTACTTTATGGGCACTGAATAAGATTGCAACAATTGGACTCTTTTACACCCACACCCACAGAGAGAAATAAATATACTAATTAATGAACATGTTGCAAACATTTAAGCTTGAATTTGGGAAGCACAACAAAACCAGTAATTCAGATGTGCATGGAGGGTAAAAACATTATCAGTTAAGTGAGGGGCCCTCCCAGGAGCAATGACAAGCTTTTCATCCCTTCGGTTCAGCCGCTCGGCAGCCATTCACTAGTAAGAACAGTTTCAAAGATGGGAATGTTGCCAAACTGCTGGGTCAGCAGAAGGCAGAGAGGAGAATTGAAAAACACAGGCTTAATGCCAGTAGACTGTACTGCAGAGTCCTGGTCTGGAAAATTACCAAGCATTTATTTAAGAATTTTGTAAACATCTGGTTCTTCTTTTCTAACATGTCTTTATGAGCCCTTTAGAAAAGAGGAAGTTCTGGAAGCTGGTTTCCATATGCTAATGCTCTGCAGCACTTAATGAAAAGGGCACAGCTAAGGCAGTCTGTGTCCTTCTGATATGCTACAACTGTTGGCAACTTCTCAGTACTGTGGGACTTTGCTTCCAGGATGAGAAAAAAGGCGGAAATTCATTCTCTTTGCAGAGTTGTCCAGGCTTATCTGAGTACAAATGGCAGCACCTGTTCCTGGGCTGTGCCAGAGACTCTTCAAGAATAATCAACGTAGTTTCAACAGAGCATGGTAGATTTTTGTTCCATTCTGTTTCCTAGCGGCAGTAGGCTTTGCCCATCCTTTCACAACTATCAGTGTCCTTGAAGTCAAATACAAAACTGAAACATTTTGGTAAATGTTGAAAATGTGTTAAGCACTTAGGGCTGTGAGCCAAGAGAGAAAGAAATCCTTTTCTCCCTGGCAATGTGCTATTAGTGTTCAGACAGAAGTTTAAAGTGAAAGCCCAAGGTCAAGAAAGTCCTGAGCAGGTTTTTGAGTTCTTTAGAACTCTTAATTAGGCTTGGTGGTTTCTTTAAAAGAAAAGGACAGGGTAAAAATATTTTAAATAATAAAAAATAAAAATAAATATTGATGCTAAGCAAAGCTCCCCTAGCTGCCCCACTTGATTGCCATTTTAAAGAATCTATTACTTGGTTGTTGTGGGGTTTTTTTGGCTCTTTGGCCATGTTCTAAAGGTTGTTCTTCCTAATGTTTCATCAGTCTCTGTGGCTGGCATCTTCAGAGGACAGGAGTATCACTCTGTGCTCTGGTGCAGTTTGTTTGGGAGTTGAGTATTTAAAGCTGTTGGACCAGCTTTTGTTCTTTTCAGGAGATGGGTGATTGTGGTGATCAGTGTCTTTTTGTTGTGGGTGTATTGTTGTGATAAGGAGGAGAGATGATCTGTCACTGTGATTGATGGGTGTCGTTAGCTGGTCTTTTGTGTGTAGTGATCACTGGTTCTTGTAGCTGGGTAGAGTTTGTTGACCTATTGCAGGCTGTATTTTTCAGTGCTGGGAGCCAACGTTTGTTAAATTTTAAACTACTTTTTTGTTGAAACTCTGCTGGTGTTTGTGGATTTCAATGATTTTCCTGTGCAGTCTAATGTAATGATTGCTGGTGTTGTCCAGTACTTCTGTGTTTTGAAATAGGATTTCATGTCCAGCTTTTTTCAGGGCATGTTCAGCTACTGCCGATTTTTTTTAGTCTGCAGTGTCTCTCATGTTCTTTGATTCTGGTGTGGATGCTGCATTTTGTGGTCTCAATATACACCTGTCCACAACTGCATGGTATCCGGTATACTCCTGCAGTGGTGAGGGGATCCCTTCTGTCCTTTGCTGACCGTAACATTTGTTGTATTTTCGTGGTGGGCTTGAATACTGTTTGTAGGTTGTGTTTTTTCAAAAGTTTCCCCATGTGGTCCGTGAGTCCTTTGATGTATGGCAGAAATGCTTTATTTGTGGGTGTCTGTTTTTCTTCTTTAGTTTGGTGTTGTTTTATTGGTCTGATGGCTCTTGTGATTTCTTTTTTGGAGCAGCCATTTGCCCGTAGGGCCCAATTCAGATGGTTGAGTTTGGTGCTGAGAAATTGAGCTTCACAGTTCCAGTTTGCACGGTCTACCAGTGTTTTGATTATGCCTCTTTTTTGCTGTGGGTGGTGGTTGGTGTTTTTGTGTAGGTTCCAGTGTGGGTGGGTTTTCTGTAGACCTTGTGTCTCAGTCAGAGGTCAGTTTTGCGTAGGATCATGACATCTAAGAATGGGAGTTGGCCCTCTATTTCTTTTTCCATGGTGAATTGTATATTCGGGTGGATGCTGTTGAGATGGTTTAGAAATTCTTCCAATTTTTCTTCACCGTGGTTCCAAATTGTGAAGGTGTCATCCACATAGCGGAACCATACTGTGGGTGAGAAGGGTGCTGAAGCCAGGGACTGTTTTTCAAAATGCTCCATGTAGAAGTTTGCTATAACTGCGCTGAGGGGGCTCCCCATGGCCACTCCATCTGTCTGTTCATAGAATTCATTATCCCACTGAAAATATCTGGTCATTAGGTAGTGTTGGAAAAGGGCCTTGATGTCTTATGGAAAGATCTGCTGGATGAATGTCAGAGTGTCCTTTATTGCTTCATTAGTGATTAGGGATACTACGTCAAAACTGATCAGTCTGTCCCCAGGGTTGAGTTTTAGGGTGCTGATCTTGCTTATGAAATGTCCTGAGTCTTTGATGTAGGATGAGGTTTGTCCAATGTGGGTCTGTAGGAGGGTGGCTAGGTATTTGGCTAATTCATACGTTGGGGAGCCGATGGCACTTACAATGGGCTTGAGTGGGATATAGTCCTTGTGGATTTCTATTACTTGCCTTCCTCCTCATCTTTAAAGACACATCTCTTCACAGGAATAAAAAAGGATGTAAATAGAAACACCTGACTGTAAAGTTTGAATCCTCCTGCCCCTTATGGACCCATGTCCTTAAGGGGCAGGGTGTGTGTGTTTCTATTTATTTTAAAGTTAAATCTGGTCTTAATAGTTAGATTTCCCTCACGTTTGTCTTAATAATCAAACATTTATTTTAAAGTTAAATCTTTAAAATTTCCCTCACGTTTGTCTTAATAATCAAAAATTACCTCATTCATCTTGTCTTATAAAGAAGAATGACAGCTTCCTCATAATGCAATGGTCAGAATATTGTCCATTAGTTACAATATTGTTTTGTTAAGCTAAGGATAATGGTGGATTATTATCAAGGATATTCACATGGATGTTCAAAAATGAAGTATACAGTTGTTCTCAAGGTGAAACAAGAAAGGCGTGTGGACCCAGGTGGGATGCCCATGGGCGTATTGACTGAGCCCCTTAAATAAAGATGCCAGTCACTTCATAGGAAGGAAAAGGTGTATAATAAATGGCCATGGCTTTATTGGTTATAGCAAACAATAGCTTTGGGCAATGTAAGGTACCAGATCCAAGCACTGGATGACCCATCTGCTGTCTGATGCATCCTACTAGCCCTCCTGTTGGGTACCTGCAAAATGACAGTGAATCGGGCTCGCTCCTCAGACATAATACCACTAAGTAGGACTTACCCTCAACTGTGAATGATGAAACTTAAAGTACCTGCCTAAGTTAGGTGTACTCATCTGTTTACCCACAAGATCCCTATAGTTCTCTCTGACTGGAGATAGCAGCCAACTTGCCCCCATTCTCCAATACTGAATCTAGACCTTAGTGCACAATTGTCCACCCTCATCTGATTCCCCCAGTGTTATGAAAAGTAATGAGTTATTAAAATTATTCATGTCCACAAACGCCATTGAGTCCCTCTTTATGCAACATCCCAGAGTGAATGTCCTTCCTGCTAACCAAGTTCCAATAAATATACACAAGGTACACCAGAGTGGAAAATTCTCCTCTCAGGTGTACCTGCCAGGAGCCCTGCCTCTCAGCCAGCCATTTGTAGGTCAGAAACTTCTGGATGGTCACAAGGACCAAGACAGAGGGGCTGTAGAATGGGTTAAGGCCATGTTACCTACCTACATTTAGTTTGAACATGTGGCATACCATGTGTGGCACTGTTATGAATAACATGCTAAGTATACTTCTTTTATATTGGGTATACACATTCCAAAGTTAAATATGTTTGTCTGGGAACTCACGGATAGTATTGGAGTCTTTGTTCAATATTTAAAATATGTGTGTCTATTTTAATATATAACACTGAGACCTTCATATGTAGCAGAATGAGTGACAAAAAAACAGTTTCCCATTACTGAGTAGAGATGGTGTATGACATATTTGAATGGTTGTGTGTGTGTGTGTGTGTGTGTTTGAGTAGAGGTGGTGTATGACATATTTGAACGGGTGTGTGTGTGTGTCTACATGTGCATGCATTAATTTTAAACTCACCGGAAGTTGTAAACTACCACAGGTGGAAAGTTAAAGACCTACAGTACTCTGTTCTATCTAGCACCTGTTTTGGTACACATGAATAGTCTAGTCCCTCCATAGGTGGATTTTTTTTAAGCCTAGGGATCATGATGGAGAACTTTGAAACAATATTGACTTTTTTTTAAAGGACAAAAAAAATTAAAATTGTAAATCAGGAAAGCTGGAACAAAGTTAAGACTCTATTATTGATTCTATTCATTCGACTGACTCCCACACAGCCCTTCTGTGTCTGTGAAAGGGCTGTGTTGTTGTGGGATCCCACTAACTATGGCAGCAGAGAGACCATTTTTACTGATCTCTCTTCTTTTTCCTGCAGCCTCCTCAGTGCTTCCTAGGCGGTTCCAGGATGTCAGTCCTCCAGCATAGAATTTTAGGAGACATGGTGTGCAAAAAAAAAAGAGCAATCCAGGAAATGTTGTATCCTCTTACATGAGATGTAACTGAAACATTTCTTGACCAGACCCCTGTGAGCCTATGGATTCAGTCCTTTAATAAGCACTATTTTAAAAAAAACCCTGTGGGGATATGCTGGTCAGTCTTCTGCTTCCCCCCCCCCTCGAATTGAAAGTGTAAAGAAGCTATATTTAAAATTAATGGCTATTCTTTTCATTCCCCTTCTTCATTACATTTAGCTCATAGTGAACATGTTGATGATAACCACCCAAGCGAGGATGTGCCAATGACTGAAACGGACATCAATTTGGAAATATCATTTTCTGAACAGGCAGCTAATCTCAAAGACAACCCAATAAACAAAATGTCAAAGAGCAACGAAGATGATACGCTCCTTCCTGTATGTTGTTTTGTTTTCTTGCTGTAGTTACCTTCACTTTTGCTATTTTTGTATGTCTTCCACATCTGCAAAATTGCATAGGAACACTTTTTGAGTTAGAAGAACCTATGCATTTTACATTTTGCTCATAGTTAGCGCAAGGCCATCCCATTGTCATACATGCTGTCCGCATATTACCATGGATGTCTGAAGCAGGGTGGTTTGTGCTCATAAATGTTTCTAGATCATGGAACCTCATGTGAGATTTCACCATGTCTGTGGACAAAAATCTATGCTTGTGTAGACAGTGGAAGTGATGCCTGGGTGCATCATTTATTGATTGATTTGGAGTTCTATAGATATTTTACTCAGTGAAGGCCTGCTTTATATGAGTTCAGCTGAGGGAAACATATGCAAGTAGCAAATTAGACAATACAGTTTAAGAAGTGTTTTAGACAGCAGGGTATTCGGCTAATCATAGAAAACTGTATGTAAAGTTTAAGACTTTAAGTGTCAAACTAAGACGTTAAAGGAGAAGTGTATTCCCTGTGATTAGCATTTTTTGTCTCAGAGTTGTGTTTCCTACCCTTGCAAATTAAGTCGATGCTTAGAATCAAGATACATGTGTAAGGAAAAATATGAGTAAAGGAAGCAGACATCTTTCATCACTTGAGAGAGCACTGCTTCTGTATCCATACTAGGTATATTGTCTAGATGTACCCAGAGTTTATCTTTGGACAGAATAGATGTTCAGATATTTCATCTCTGCTGTTACATCTGGATTCTCTAGATCAGTGGTTCCCAACCTTCCGTAACCCAGATGCTCTTGGACTGCAACTCCCAGAAGCCTTCACCACTTAGCTGTGCTGGCCAGGGTCTCTGGGAGTTGCAGTCCAAGAACATCTTGGATAACTCAGTTAAGAAATAGATATGGGCATTCTCTGCTGCATACTAGTTGCATGTGTTAGCACACAATAGTAAATGCCTATGCTGATTTCTTTACTTGTGTCATTCAATGACTGAAATCTATGTCAATGGGTTTATGCCACCACAAGTTTTGAACAGGATTCCAGATAAAATGTTTTTAGTTGATATCAGAGTAGACTATGTGTAAATGGGTGGCATATAGGTTCAATAAATAAATAAATATATTTTGTCCATTTTTCTTTTTTCTTTTGGCCTACAATCATTCTCATGAAGAAAGATACATAAAGCCATGAAGCACATACAGTGGTGCCTCGCATAGCAATGTTAATTCGTTCCAAAAAAAACATCGCTATGTGAAATGAAACTATGTGAAACACCATTTCCCATAGGAATGCATTGGAAACCGGTTAATCCGTTCCAATTGGAACGGATTGC